AACTTTGCTGTTTTGCAACAAACTTTGCTGTTTTCCAACAGCTTTTATTGTTCTCGTACAACATTGTTGTTTGTTTACAACACCGTCATCAGTAAGAATGTTGTTTTTCAACAACTCTTTTTTACAGTGCACCGTATTCCGTTGGCGCTAAAGAGGGCAGCTGCGTCAGCCAGAGTCCTTGAGACTTGGGGGGCCTGTTCGTGGTACGCACAGCGGGGGCCTCTGTTCGGGCGCGGTATGCGCGCGGGCCGCGGGAGGGAAGGCGGTCGAGGCGCCCTCGAACACTCTGTCACCACCTACCTTTAGTGCCTGTGCCCGATAGAGGACTTGGTGGGACATAACCGCGAGGCAAGCGAGGCCCATGATGCCATCAATCAGTTGGGACAGACGCGGCGGCGGTGGAGGGAGGGGGGCAAGGGGCAAAGATTGAGAGGGAAGAGTAGATGAGAATGAGAGGAGAGGGATAGGAAGGGGAGGAAAGAGAAGGGGAGAAAGAGAGCGGGGCGTGGCCACGGCAATTAGTAAAATGGTAAAAGACGGCGTGGGAACAGCGCACAAAGAGTGGCACATACGAACACACACACACACACACACACACACACACACACACACACACGCACGCACACACACACACACACACACACACACACACACACACACAAGAGTTGCCGGTGTGGTATGTCAGGTCCGTAATGATGGGAAATTGAGAGTCGCTAATTACTCTCTAGGACTCTGCTGAGGTCTCCCTGCTGCGGGCTGCAGCAGCCCCGGCCCCCGACCTCAGCCCGGGCGTTGCATTCTCGGCCCCACACCACTACTTGTACACGGCCGGACGGCGAAAGGGATCTCCTGCCCTGCGCCGAGTGTGTGTTGCGTCACCCGAAGGGGAAGAGCCGAGCCGAGCCAGCCGAGCCGAGCCGAGATGAGGATGAGTCGCTGAGTCGCTCCAGGTCGAGCTGTATCATGAGTCTGTAGGATTTCACCACGTGTTGGCGGGCTCGACTTAAAAAGAAATTGTGCGAAAATGCTACTGAATAAAATCGAGAGGCACGCCCGCCAACTGATGCGTGGATTTGGGAAAATTAAATATCGAGGAAATGAATGACTGTAGTGTCCGAATATAAAAATGTCGAATGAAAGGAAAATACACCAATTGAGGTCAAATTAGATAATTATTCAAACAGGGCACTTTACAAAGAAACGACTCTACTAGAAAATCCCACTGCTTCTAAGAATTAACTCTAAATTGAACAAAGAAAATACCGTCTCTCAAGCCCTCGTTCAGAACTTGGCACTCAGCATGTTCACAAACACACTGACGATTCGTCCAATCACTTCACACGTCACTTCCCACTGTCACGAAGACACATAGTTAATCAAATCACTTCGCACAAACTTCACTGTTCCGTCATTTACTCATCACTGTCACTACGCACTGGCTCTGACTTCACTGACTGTCTCTGTCGACACTCACACTCACTCCGCGCGACTCGCGACTCTCTCACTTCCGCTGCACACTGACTCGAATCAAGTCCACACTCGCGCTCTAGAACGAACTCTCCGATTCTGCTTCTCAGTTCTGTCCATTCGACTCTCCGCGACAACTCTCCGAACTCACCTAGGAACTCACTCACTCTGCTCAACTCCTCTCCAAACTCCACTCTAAACTGCTCTCCGCCTCCGCTCACGACTCCTCAACTCACTGACTGCACTCCGCGCCTGGACCCCCGCAGCCCCTTCCCGGGCTGGGTACAATTTCACTGCCAACATTTCGGGTAGAAATATAACAATCCTACAGGGGGTCAGCGCGGCCCTCCCCGGGCCGGCTGCGCGGCCGGGGCGCTGCGCTACGCTACGCCCACTCTGCCCATCGCGTCAAGGACGGAGGCAGACAAACGACTTGGACGACCAAAAGATTTGATATAATTTGTTGCAATTAATAGGTTGGTATTAAGAATTTCGGAAATAGCTGGAAACTGCACTTTTCGGCCGAGAGGCTCCACGCACAGGTCAGGTTGTATGCCTTGGGACGCCGGGCGGGCTGGGCCGGGCTGCGCCCTATTTACATAGGGGCGGGTGCGAATGCGCCCGCGCAGCTACACTGTGAAAACGCTAAGAAAAGCTGTTGGCGATTTTATGAATTAAAATCTCGCCGACACACGACGACGCGGTTCGTTATGAATAA